AAAGCTTAATTTTAACTTTTCGTTTATTTTAAGTTCGAAAATGTTAACAATATACCACCTTGTCTCGCGTATGTAGATTTTGAGAAAGCATTTGATTCCGTCAACATTTAGACAGTGCTAGAGTCACATCAGCGTTGCGTAAGTCTTAGGGTTATATTGACATACATTTCCATTACAGCCTTTCAAAAGTGCATTGCTGGACGTAGCTCTCCCCCATAGATTGCCTTGTGTGGATATTTGCAACAGATGCCTCACTCGGCAAGCGGATTAGCAACCGCATTTTATTTTTATTTTGAGTTGGTTTCCCCCTGTTGTGTCTTACAAAATCCACACGACGATACAGGCTAGCGGATATTCTTACACCATCGCACACTGGATTAACAAACGCGTTCCGAAGACATATAACTTTTAAGTTTTAAATGTCGTTTTTTTAAACTTGAAATGGCTTCTGTTTATTATTACTATGGTCAGAAATATCACAAGAAAATTTGGCTTAAAAACTGAGAACTTATGATTTTTTACGGAAAAAAAAAAGAAATATATGTATGGAGCAAATAAAAAATCACAGTTCACACACTTACAGGCTGTTATGTTACTAATTATTTATGATTGATACACAGATACACTTTTGTATAATATTGTTACGAGCTTGAGGTTCGTGACAATAAAATTACCTAAATTAACACTTTAATTTACTTTACACAAATTAAAGTTAAAAACACCAACAATTAAACACACTAATTTACTTTATTCCGCTCCGAAGCTTCACTTGTTTCGCCAAATCAATACTACCTCGATCGCATCTTGCAGCGCCTATTTATTTAAATTAGCAAAGAAGCATCCAGAATATTCAAGTAAATGCGCGCAAAGGGACGAGTGTGCGTGTGTAGATTTTCTAGAAACTTAGTTCTTCGGATGGCGCTGTCGGTTGAGTAATTTGTGATGTCATTTTCTCAATGCTCCCCTCGCTCTCGTTCCTGACACTAGATGGCGCTAGTGTATCGTCGACTTGAGCGCGTAACACTGCCCCCTCCTAAGACATGCTCGTCCCGAGCATTATCGGCCCCATAATAACGCGCCAAGCGATCCACATGGACGATCTTAGGAGTCCCTCTTGCGCCTTTCTGTAACGGCTCCGCAATGTCAAGGGCTGTCCTATCCCGTGGTGCACCAACATTGTACAATTTCGGTGCTCCTCTACTACGTGTCTGAGGTCCCCGCACGGCCGCACAACTTGTACATGTACGACACCAATCCTCGACATCGTCACGATAATGGACCCAGTAAAACTGTTCTCAGACCTTCAGTAGAGTTCGTTTAACTCCCAGATGGACTCTTGAACGACCATTATGGCACAGCTGTAGAACATTCGGCACTTTAGCTTTAGGGACAACCATTTGCAAACGACAGCTGTCTCTTCGACCATTGTCCCATTTACGGCACAGGACTCCATCCTGAATCAGCAAGCTGTCCCATTGGGTCCAATAGCTTTTCGTGGTTGAACTCATCGCTGAGACGTCCCTCCACTTAGGCTTGGTAGCACGGGCCTTCATCCATCCCAGAATCGGCTTGATGTCCGGATATTCCTGCTGTGCATGTCGTAGGCTGTCCTTCCACCCGTTGCTGAGGTGGTCTGTCCTGAGCATACTCACGGGTACCGCTTCCTTACTCTCTTGCCTACTACAATGGTTGCAATCTTCAGGACAAGGTCTTCTTGTCAATGCATCTGCGTTGCCGTGAGATTTCCCGCTGCAGTGTCTGATAGTAAAGTCGTATTCCTGCTGCTGCCGGCCGGTGCTGTTAGCCGCACTTCCTTTCTGAGACCGTTCACCTTCCCTTCCTAGGGTGTGCTTAGGGCAGCTGGACCGAAGATGGCCCCTTTCCCCAGGGCCATAGCACCTAGGGCTGTATCTTTTATTGTGGTCTCGAACCGTAACTGCTGCAACCTCCCTAGCGTGAGGTGACCGATGATCCTGCCGCCGCCAGGCAGTGCCGTTAGCCGCACTACCCTCTCGAGATCGATCAACTCTCCTTTCCACGGTTCGTTTAGGGCAGCTGGATCGAAGATGGCCCTTTTCCCCACAGCCATAGCACCTAGGGCTGTATCCTTTTGCTGCGGTCACGGACTGTAGCTGCTGCAACCTCCCTGACGCGATGGGAACGATGATCCTGCCGCACGGCTTCCACCTCCAGTGCATGGGCCAAGGCGTCCTTAAGCGTCTCGTGGTGCCCGAGCCCCACAGCAGCTCTGACTTCCAGGTCGCGGATGCCGTCGATGAATGTCTGCACCAGGTTCCCTTCAATGAGCGCAGGTACAGACCGGTATGCTTTTCGCACCAGCTTCTCCACTTCTAGAGCCCACTGCTGCAGGTTTTCGTTGATGCGCTGTACACGATCTTTAAGCTGCGCACGAAAGACGTGTTCCAGGTGAGCGTCGGCATATCTCGCCTCCAATGCCTCAAGGAGTTGCTCATAAGTCACTTCCTCACCGAGAGCTTCCAGAACTGTTAAGGCCTGGTCACGCAGGCCTAGTGTGAGAGCAGTCATGGCCTGATTTTTATTCCAGCCGTTCACCTTCATAACAGCCTCGAACTGGATTTTGTAGGCTGACCAGGAAGAAGTCCCGTCGAACGGTGGCACTTTGAACCCACGTAGCGAAGGTGTAGTAGCTACTACGGGAGCTGTAGTTCCATCACCCAGTTTGAGGTCGTCCAGCGTTTTCTTCACGTCAGCCACCACGTAATCAACCCGATTGTTCACTTGGTCGATTTGGGTTTTAGCTTCCTTGATTTGGGTTTCAGCTTCCGACAGGCGGTTGTCATGTTGAGCAACCTTATCCTTCACCTCCTTTATCTCTTTCCCAAAGGTAGCATGAAGGTCCTTAATGAGGAGCATCTACTCTTCCGACCGACGGGCCTGTTCCTCCTGTCGGCGGGCCTGCTCCTCTTGTCCGCCCCGCAGCTGCTCTTCCAATCGGCGGGCCTGTTCCTTCTGTCCGCTCTGCAGCTGCTCTTTCAACTGACGGACCTGTTCTTCCTGTCGGCGAGCCTGTTCCTCCTGTCGGTGAGCCTGCTCCAGCAGCATCACCATCAGAGCACCTAAGTCAGGTGCTGCAGATGTAGGAGCTACCGACGGGCCTGCAGCCGGTGGCTGGCCCTCCGACGTCTGCGGCGTTGCACCACCAAATCTTCGTTGGTCCGTCTCCTGCTGGCGTTGACTTCGGGTACGGACACCCTCCGTTTCCTCCTTAGGTAAAATCGGCATGATTTTATCCCACTTCTGACACCAATTGGTACGAGCTTAGGGTTCGTGACAATAAAAATTGCCGATAAAATTACCTAAATTAACACTTTAATTTACTTTACACAAATTAAAGTTAAAAACACTAATAATTAAACACACTAATTCATTTTATTCCGCTCCGAAGCTTCGCTTGTTTCGCCAAATCAACACTACCTCGATCGCATCTTGCAGCGCCTATTTATTTAAATTAGCAAAGAAGCATCCAGAATATTCAAGTAAATGCGCGCAAAGAGACGAGTGTGCGTGTGTAGATTTTCTAGAAACTTAGTTCTTCGGATGGTGCTGTCGGTTGAGTAATTTGTAATGTCATTTTCTCAATGCTCCCCTCGCTCTCGTTCCTGACACTAGATGGCGCTAGTGTATCGTCGACTTGAGCGCGTAACAATATGTATTAATTGTGTTCATTTTTATAATAAACAACGAAAAATACGAGTGTGCTTATGACCACACGATCGTAGTAAAACTTTTTTAGCTCCATCTCTTCTTTTTTTCTCTCTCTCTCTCTATATATATATATATATATATATATATATATATATATATATATATATATATATGCTTTAATTTTCAACAAATATTTAAATTTATTTTCGGCTTCCTACCATAATTTGTTATTATTTACCCGAAAATTCACAAAACATGAACTTTAAAATGAATTTACAATTTTAGTCACTTTTAACGTAGAATGTTTAATGTATTGAATAAAATATTAATTTATAAAGTGTTCAAAACTGAATACCATTACGAAAAATATCTGGCTATGAGAGAAAGAGAGAAAGAAAATGTGCATGCGCACTGCTCTCTCTCTCTCATGCTTATATCTCCCGCTCAACCTCGGTTCGCTTTGCGATAACACTTTTCGTGACGCTTTCGTCACGCGTTCGCTAGCTTACTCCCCAAGTCAAACGTGCGTAAAGAAGTTTTACTTCAAAACTTCAAATATGATTTTGTTGTAAACCCAACGTAGTCTGTCCTGGCGTCGCCGACGAAAGTTTTTCCCTTTTTTGGAAAAAAACACAAGCCAAGTTACTGACGATATTGCTAGGATATTTTTAGATATTATTTTTTTTCACTGTTTTTTATAAAAGCATCGTGGCACTGGCAATACATTAAACTGAACAAGTACATTACCAAAGAAAAAAAAACTAGACACCTAGACAGAACAGAACAGAGTATCCCATCCCATTTTATCGCATAAATAATGGGTTTGAGTGCATTTTAATACGTAAAAATGGCACAACTATCTGTGTTAAACGATTGCACATGTTATGAACTATTAGTAGAAACGATGTAACATATTCTTTGTTGGTGATATAAAGGATTTTTTATGTACTAAGGCGTCCTGAGATACAATTATCATCAACTGTCTGCTGTAACCCATCTATCTATCTTTGAAATTTTAAATTCGCAAATTGACGCAGTATTATATCAGTATATTATGAAGATTTTTGTAAACAAAATACATGTCCCAAAAGGCTGTATGGGCTTAAGCCCTTTGTCTTTAAATACGTAAATAAAAGTCATAAATATATATAAACAAAACTTGTAAATGGAAATTAAAAATTGTATACTTTTGCTACATATTTATTTTTTGTTTTATACTTTTATTTTTATAGCGCAATTTATTTCGTAGAATAAAACTTTTCTTTAATGTTTAGTTATATAATAAGTTTAATATAAAATAAGTTCTTTCAAAAATGGAAGTAATCCAAGACGGTCCAATATTTATAGATGTTAGTAGTGGACAGGAGCTACCATCGGAAGAATTAGTTCAGGACCCTGAACTAGAGACTGTACGAAATGATGATGAAAACTACAAACCTGAAGTGGAGTAAGTATTATAAAATCCAATGATAATCTAAAGTAGTTACGTTATTCATCTCTGGTCCACCATAAACGCTGCTGGACACGGGTAGAGTAAACGGTAGAATAGAGCGGTAGAGTTCTAACTATCCTACTTACTATACTTATGTAGACACCGCTGGTAGAGTAGAGTACTGAAATTTGGTAGAGTAGAGTAGAATAGCATCGTGGGAGAGTTACTCTACCACTTTCCTTTCCCCACCCCGGCGTCCACTCTACTCTACCGAGTACTCGACCTATGTAAACGGTTAGTAGAGTAACTAGTTTAGACTTGTTTACAAAAGGCACATGGCATTGTTTACTAAAGTTGTACGCCGTTTTTTTAGTAGTAGTGATTTATGAAAAAAATATCATGAAGTGGGCTGAATCACAAACTTTAAAACTAGTGGAGCTTTACGGGGAGTTTCCGTGTATCTGGGATATAAGCCACCGTGATTATAAGAACAAAAGGAATGCGGCCTATGAATATATTATTTGTGCAATGAGCAAGGAAAACTTTGGAGTTTCTGAATTAAAACAAAAAATCAAAAACCTCCGATGTACTTATAACCAAGAACGAATGAAAATAAAAAAAATCTCAAAAGTCTGGCAGTGGAAGTAACAAAGTTTACGTGCCTTCTTTAAAATGGTACTATGTAATGGAAACATTATTAAAATCTATTACACGAAGCACCGAGACTCAGGATAACTTTGAAGGAATAATACAATCTGAGGTATGTACCTAGTGTTTATTAAAACAATATTTTATTACATTATTTAGGATATATGACGATATTGCCAGGGTACAGCTCCATTGTTGTTGAAATAGTCCTTCATTCGGTCACATATTCTCTTAGCTAAATTGGTTCTTTGAATACTCCCAAATCTCTCAAGATTACGCAATTCTTCAATCTCGGTTCTCCAACTACCGGGTATAATTTCTCCAGTATGTATATTTTCTTGATCGACCGCACTTGCTAGCAAATAAGAAGGCGATGATTCACGTAGCCAGTTGTGAATAGATCAGGCTGCAAACACAAGTTTGCGAACTGTGGAAGGCTTCAAATCTATTTTTCCATTAAATATCCGAAACCTGCTCATCAAAATACCGAATACATTCTCCACAATTCTTCTTGCTCGGCTCAGACGATAGTTAAAATTTTTTTCAGGTATTGTCAAAGGACCTCTGTAAGTTTTATATGGTTTTAATAAGTATGGCTTTAATGGAAAAGGATCATCACCAAGTAGGAATAATCCTTCAGACAAAAATCCTCTTTCTAATTCATCTGAAATCGGTCAATTTTTAAAAATACCACCATCTGATTGTGATCCTTCGGCACCAACATTAGTGTACAGAAACTTGTAGTTAACGTCGACAACTGCCATTAACACAATACTATTCGAGCCCTTGTAGCTGAAATATTCGCTGCCACAATTTGGAGGGGCTAGTATCAAAATATGTTTGCCGTCGATGGCACCACAACAGTTTGGAAAGTTCCAATGAGTTTCAAATCCACTACTTATTGTTTTCCAGTTGTTTTCTGAAGCTGGTACCTGCAATCAAAAGAAAATAACCTAATTATATTCTTTAATTACAGAATGCAATATCAGAAAACGAAACTGAAGTCTCAACAAATGCACATGATCCACAGCCATCGTCAGTCTCAATAAATGACTCACAAGAGCCAACAACCAGTACTGCACAAAATATTGAAGATTCGCAGTCAGCGCCAATTCAGATAGCTCCAACATTAAAAGGCAAGGGAAAAGGAAAGACATCCAAAAATAAGAATTTACAGATTCTTGCTTCGGCTGTTAATGAAGTACGCAAAGTGCACGATAGTTTACGCAGTAGTAACGACATAATTACAACTCCCATTGGAGCTCAAAGTGCCAACAGTGTGTTTGGCTCATATGTCGCCTTAATGTTGGATAAAATGTCATTCGAACAATCACACACAAAGTGAAATACAAGCGATTTTGGTCCGGTTTTTAATACCGCCTGCAACCTCAAACACTCCTATGTAAATACACCCTCAGTTATGACTCTCCGACCGCAACGCGAACAGCATAATGTTTACGTACCGGAAACCCAAGATACTTCTCAGTTAGTCTTGCAAAATGATGTAGTTTATATACAAGAAACTCAAGATCCTTCTCAATCAATCTTGCAGACTGATGGCAATGTTGAAACTCAAGATGTTTCACAATTTTACTTACAAAGTGAAGTTGATGATCAAGAAACCCAAGAAGCAACTCAATCAATCTTATCCCAAGCTTGGAATTCTACAAATATTTAGTCTAAGTTCAAATACCGATACGTGTTTTTCATTTTTTTTTTTCTTATTATAAAGTTACATTTACGAATTTGTCTTTTATTATTAAATTGCTTACACTAATTGTGCGTCACCATAGCGAAACACATAGGAATAGATATGTTTTTACTAAGCATCTAATTTCAACTATTTATCGACTAAATATCTGCATAGATTGCCGGCTTGCCATTTGTGGGTATGTGAGTCGATGTGGTGCAGCACACCAATAATATTGATAAAAAAAACTTACCTTGATATACAGGCTTTCGTAAATGGCGTCACAAACTTTAGGAATGAATTTCGAAATAGTGCATTTAGACACTCTGTAATGATTTTGCAATGACCGGTAGCTATCTCCTGTAGCTAGGAAATTTAAAGTTATTTCTAATTTTATTCGTGGTGTTAATGCCATCCTCATTGTAGTATCTTGTTTCTTAATTTTTGGACCGACTTTTTTGAGCAAATCCTCAAACATTTCTGGCGTCATCCTCATAGTTAGTCTATATTCTTTTACGTCCTCTGCTGCTAACTCTTTCAAAAGTAGTGCTGAATCCCCTCGCTCATCCCTTCTCAATATCCAATCTCTTGTCCATATTCACTTTTTCCTATTTTTCTCTTCTTCAAGAGCCTTCATTACCTCCTTCAATAATAAATCTGTTAAGTTTATTAGAGCGTTCCTTACTATTTATCGATGAGTCGAATCGACGTTCATTGTTCTAGGGTTTCTTACCGAATAACTTAAAAGCTTTACTCTACTAACAAAATGAAAATTTACATGTAGACAGTTACTCTACTGGTAGATATGAGAACCGTAGAGTAGTATGCTAGTTCACTCTACTGTTTACTCTACCCGTGTCCAGCAGCCTTAAGAAACAGTTACCTCCTTAGGCCATTCTTAATTTAAATCTAGTTTTGGAATCTCAACTTTAGGTTTATTTTTTTTTGCTTTATTTTCCTTTTTTCTATATTAGCGAGAGGGCTGTTGTAGCTCAGGGCTTAAGCAGTCGCCTTTAAATTCACAGTACGCTAAGAACTCAGATTCTTATCCATGTCGGCAACAAGTAAATCATTTATTACCATTTAATTAACTAAGAATTAATTCAAAAATATTTTTATTTGAAACGGTCTACAATAACTGTTACCTGAACATAGTGAATAAACCTTTGTCGCATATGAATGCGCTAATAGATACACTTACAAAAATATTTTCTGTTTATTACATAAAATGAATAACATACCGTCTAATTAGGGTTATTTTCGGTAAAATATATTATCATTGTCATATCAAATTAATATTGGGTATGTTCCGAAATACTACACAGTGTACTGTCCAATGCAAATGACGTCATGAATCGATCAATCGACGCTATACTGGTGATTCGTTCCAAAACATTGGACAGTATATGACGTCATACTTTTGCGCCATTTGGAAAAGTGTTGGCGATTATTTTGTCATTTTGTGCTCCAAAAATCATTATATCCTCCTAATGGATATACCATCAATTATTCTATAATTTTTGTATTTGAATAAATAGAAACAAATTCTGGCATGCTTCATTAGGCAAACACACAATTAAAAATTGTTTTATTATGGCCGGATATCCGACACAATATGCGGCGGCATGCTAGTACAATAAAGTGTCAAACTGTCAAATGATGACGTCATTTGCATTGGACAGTACACTGCGTTGTATTTCGGAACATACCCATTATTTACTGAAATGGTTAGCTATTGAGGCAGTGAGAAGAATGAGTATTGAAATTTAAAACCAACAAGTGTTAGGTGTTAGAGGGTATTGTCTCATCATCATCATCATAACAACCTTTTTGAAGTTGCTGCTGCCCATCAGCTGTCTCAGTTTCCCTCTATCATCTCCTAAGACTACCACGGGACGATATGGGGCAGTGGATATTCTTACACAGCCACTACATGTTAAAGATAGGGTGAGAAGTTGTGTGATAAGAGAAAATAGTGGTTTGCAAGAAGATGATGTGTGATCAGGATTAAGAAAGGAATGCTACAGTGGTTTGGTCTTTTAGAAAGAATGAATAAGGAAAGAGTGACATAGCAAATTTATGCTGCAGAAGTGAATGGGAGTGTCGGGAAAGGACGCCCTAGAAGAAAGTTTATCGACCTATTTGGCGATATATTGAAGATGCTGCAGCTATATTATGGTTGTAGCATGTATGAGTCGACTCAACCGTGGAAGGACCACACCTCTCACAGAATACCAGTGTAAAATAGCAGCTTAATACTGCTGTGTTTTGTATGGTGAGTGTAGAGATCTGGAGACCATTTTTTACTGGAAACGAGGCATTCCATCTTAGTCCTCAGGGGTGACAACGCGTCTGCATTTTCATTAATCAAGATTAAGTGTAGATGTCTATGGGCTACAGCATCTGCATTTATCAACTGATCATCAGCTGGACTGTGTGCTCGTTTGTCACCCTTATTCTATAAAAAAAGATGGGCCAGATTAAGAGCATTCTTAACTGATGAGCATGTATGGTATATGGTTGTAAAGGAGGCAAGAGAGGTGTCTCAGTATTGTGCCAGTTGGAAGTCTATAGTCTCTGCCTACCCCTCTGCGTGACAGGCGTGAGTGTTTATGCTTATGAAAGTGCTGTATGCTTATGAAATTTAAATCTAAAAATATTCTTGTACGTATGCCAC